GTGTTTGTGTTGCTTGAAAAATGTGTCCCTAGTTCTCGATATCGAAGTGAGGATAAAAACATGCTCTCAACGATTTGCACATCATCCATTAGGCTTATGATCAGTTCACCAAAAATTCGCTTTTACATCAAAATCCAGCACAAATACTTTCACAATAGCTAAGCGTAAAAATACCATCCTACTGTTCGAGATGCAATGGAACAGTAGTTGGTTAAGCAAAACGCCAACCTAATATTGTGCACTATTTGCGATCATTCATTGTAACATTCACCTGTAGATGATCCGGCGCGGATGCGTCCGGCCTCTGTTTCTGCTAAGAAGCGTGCTGTAACTCATTACAATCGTTGTTGGTGTTGCTGCTGTCGCCGACTTCGTCTCTGCAACCGGGGCGAGTGGTCAGTTCATCTGACAGTTTGAAAAAAGAAACGTTATCAGACGGGAATAGGTATCTGACTTGTAAGCGATAGCCACCATGTACTCGACTGTTCTCTCTCTCTCTCTCTAGTTCTATCCGCGCATCTTTCACTCTTGTGCTGCAGTTAGAATTCTGGAGGAGGGAATGAATGAATTTCAGCAAAAGATATGATTAGATTAGATAGATAGGTCCAGAGCCAAACGCCTGATGGTGGTGTCGGTGGTGAGGGTCAGGGAAAGAAGGCGTTCTGTGCCCACCCCCCATTCGCCCTGATCCACTTCGTTCTAACAGAACCCGGTCCTTATTCGAGGAAGCGTTCAAATCACATGCTGCTTTACGTCGTAATTTCGACTACTATCATTCTTGTCCTATTCACTTCTTTCTTGTTCCGTTTTTTGCTTTTGCTGCGTTTCATCACGTAAGTGCACCACCTTGTGTGCATGTGGATATGGCTAGTGGGGAGGGATGGGGACTGGCTGGCTGACTGACTGACTGGATGCATGTACTTGGCGGCTGTCAATTTCCCGATACACTTTTTGTGACCCGTCACTCTGAGACAGATAGACAGTCAAAAAGGGTTTTGAACAAAAACTGTGTTGAGAATCTCCCTGGATGTTTTTCCGAACGCCTTGTTCGTAAAATTTTAACTGAACGTTTGCGTGTGTTGTATTGTGCGGGCTTGATCGCAATAAGTGTAACCCGTAAGTCAGTCATCAGAATGCAAAAGATACACCAGTGAGTATCATCAAATTCCCATTCTGTGGATCGCGAGTTTAAACGCTGATGGGCATGCGTCTGTCATTATTTGCCAGTCGCGTGATGACACGTTCTAGGAAACCAATATAATGCTTCGACCGAAATCGCGTTCATATCCATTAGTATTGTTATTGCATAAACTATAATGTCATTTTGATGTTGATGCTAATAATAATGATAATAATAATAATAATAATAATAATAATAATAATAATAATAATAATAGTTTCTCTGTCCTTGATCAACAAAATGCAGAAATTCGGTTTTCCATTACAAATACAAAAACAGGGTGTTGTCGAAGGTCCTCAGGAGGCATGATATAAAGAATTACGAACAATTTACGTAGAACTTTCTCCTTATACCCCGAACAAAGTCATTAATTGTCTTTGAAAAACAGTTGACAACTTAACTTCTGAGCGCTGGGTTCAAGTTTAAGAGGATCCCGCGATCAATTAATCTATGCTGTAACCTTTGAACAACGAGCAAAAAAACACCGAGATGCTGTTTTATTCTGGTATAGGCTCGTAAGCATTGTGTAGTTGTTATTTCTCAGTCAGTACTCTAGTCACGACCCCGTGGATTCCAAACCCTGATATCTATGCAATCGCATGAAGTTAAACCAGAAAATGCATAATTCAGTTAAAGTAGGTAAACCCTGATGGTTTGGGACATAGACTCTGTCTCTCCATGGGAAAGGTTTGAACCTTCCAACCAATTAGGATATAATGGTGCGTACTGTTGGTCAGCTCGTGGTGAAACAGCTGTCCATTTTTTTTGTCGACCAGTGCACACAAAGTTCATCATTGGATTGATCAATTATGGAATCAAAATCTTCCAAGGAGCGGGACTAAAATAAGATCAATAAGCAAACCTTCATTCTTCTGAGAACGATTCTGCTATCACATCACTTCGTGATATTTTCAACTACGTCTCAGAGGTTATTTTTTTCAGCTCTTCATGGAATCTTGATGGAGCAAAACAAAAAAACTGATTATACGGTGGCAAATTCTTGTTTCATGGAGAAACAAACGACCGAAATAAGCTCTAAATGCTAGTGAGCTGTGCGAATATGGATATTTTGAGATTGGTTTGGCAATGGCGGGATGGGACGGGAGGAGGGAGGGTAATTGGATGATACCGTATTGCGACAGCTGACATGAATGTTGGACTAAGTGTTAAGGTGGAAAGAGAGGGTCTCCTATTCATAGACTTTGCAAACGCTTCACTCGGCTCTTGCGCAACTCTCATTTGTCAGTGATCTTGGACACAAAAAAGGAAAATTTCCGCTACGCTTGGAACTTGTAACTTATCAAGAAGATACTGTAACTTGATGTGGTGTGATGGCTTGCAACTGAAAGAGGTTAGATAAAAATCCTGTTGTTTGGTCATCCGGCTGGAACATTCGAGTCGAGTTTTGTTCTCAATTGATAAAGATCGATAAAGGAATGATCCATCCATTTAGACGCGACTATACTCCATAATACCCGTAGCCCTGTGATTAGGTTCTTGTCAGAAGTAATCTCTTCGACTTGACACCCTACACCACCCTAACATACTAGTCAGTCAATTAACGAACAAATATAAACATGCTCGTCACATCCAACGAAGAAAAGAACCAGTGATATCGACGGTGTTGTCATTGCGTACTGATTACACGAATTCACATGGCACTTTAAAAATATGGGAAAAAAACACATAAATATGGACGCACGGGTTTCTGCAAGCCTTGTTCTGAATTAAACTCCTTCAAAATTTCCCTTTACTTGCTGATGAGAGAGAGTTGCCAACATTTCCGATTTTGAATACGAGACCCGAAGAAGGTGTAACAACAGGCGCCATTCTATAGACGTCCGGTGTGGTATTATGTTGCGAAGAATTTCATTCATAGGAGCTTGCCAACTTGTAGTGTTGTGAAACCAGCCAAGCAGCGTGACCCACAACCACACACATCCCGATAAGTGTTGATACTTCTAATGGGAATCGGTTGTATTTGTGCGATGTGGAAATATGTACGATGAATATTTTTTAAAAAATTTGTCTTTGTATTTTGAAATTACCATTAATGTGACTACACCTTGCATCCGGTGTATTTAGTTGACACCGGACGACTATTATCATTACTGCCTCAAGCACTTACATATGACATAGATTTTACTCAGATCTAATTCGATAACATCCCTGATGAACATATCAAAGGTATTATTATTATTATTATTATTATAATAACCTGTCGTTTAGACGGTAGTTTGACCTAGACACAACACGAAAACACTGGTGAATTGGTCTACACTGGCCCATGTTCAGATCCCTGAGGGAAATAACTCGTCAGTTTCAGGTTCGTATACACAGATACATGCACACAATCATTTTGTGTTCAACATGGACACATCGGGATAGGAGCGTGTTTGCTACCCCATTCGCTTATTGCCGTCACCACCACCACCACCAACAGCAGCAGCATCAGCGGCGGCCGCAGCGGCACCATTGCCGATGCGACAACGACCACAGCAGGACAAGGTTGGAGATGCATATGACCTGAACGATCAGACACGTGGTCGTGAGTCATGTATCGGAAACAGGCCCCGGGAGCAGGACCATGCCGATGTTCTAATAGCTAAGCAGTTACAGACAATCGAGATGAGCGCGGGTGACTCAAACGGTTAATCCATTTCATGTCATGTGTGTATGTGTGTACACTTGGGGCGTTGCGGTCAGGGTGGATAGAGTGCTACGACCGCTAGGGATTGGGGACGGAGAGTTGATGAGACGGGCTGTTGGTGGATTTTATCCATTCCGTGTCATTCATTCATTCATCCATCCATCCATCTATCCATATCGTAGACACTGACCAAGCGTGTTCTGAAACCACTCCCTTCAGCCGACCGGAAGATAGTGTGCCTCGGCATCTGTATACGGACATCGTGTAACTCGAAAATAGGGTAACACATAGATACAAGCTTACACATACACCATACTTGATTGAGTTCTATGTGCTAGCAACTCAAATGGTTCACTGCTTCCAGAAACGTTGTTGTTGGGATAGCTGCTGCTTTTTTTATTATTTTATTATACACCTAAGTGTGATGAACAGCAGAGGGGGTAAATCCCCATAGTCACGAGGACTCACTGTTCAGTGGTGGAAACCGGTAACCCTGGACTTGGAGTGGCGAACCACGTAAGGCCCCGATAAGTTAGACATGGTATTGAGCCGGATGACAGCAGAGCTACCTACCACCAAAGTCGGGTGGCGGTGGCGGGGCTCGAACCTCGGACCATAAGGTCCAAAGCACGTCGGTGACAGCGACTAAATCACTGCACCACCACCACCGCACTGTTGGATAATGGTCCGAATATAACAATCTGTGAGACAACGATAATGAGGCACATTGTGTGTGTGGTCAACTGGGGCGTACTCTTGTGCAGATGAGCACCAGACCGCGTTTTTTTGTAAAATAGATTAAGCGAAAGGATCATATATTCTTCTTCTTCTTGTTATTATTACTATTATGTGTGGAATTTTCCGGTTTGCTCAAGCCAACGCAGTGGAGTTTTCTTCGGGGGTATTCACTGATGATGCATTCTAAAAGCCGCAGTCTTACGCTCAAGACAACCGGGGCCGTGTTTAACAATCACAATTCATTGAAGACAATTGTCCATGTGCTTCATCCTACTATACGCTCTCCGGAGGGGATCAAACGTCCAAGGTGTCTAATACACCACGATATTCAATGCAGCAGGTGACCACTTTTAAAGAACCAGGAATGTGTAGGTATCAATTGTGCACCCTTTCTTGGCTGTTTTCTAGTCCAAGTTTTGCCAGAAATCTTCCATGAATTGCCGGAAGTTCACCAACCTGTTTGGCTCCGGAGGAAGGTAACTTTTCGTCCTCTCAATGTGGTGGGAAAACACATCGGCTATGGGAAGGCAATGAGTTCCTCACCAGGAACTTATCGAGCATTTCGCCAGGCGCAAGGGGAGTGTGATTAATCACAATCCAGGACACTCGTTCCCCAGGATAGTGAGACTTTTTGAGGGTTATACACATGGATCTACATGTCATCTTCACTAAAGTGTGAAGAAACAATGGCGTATTGCTCATAATTCGATACACGGTTGAACAAGTTTGCAGTAGGGGAGAATTTCCTGGTGAACGCAATATGAATGAAGTAGACCTTGGGGTTATTTGGGATGAATCAAAACTGAAGCTGAAGTCGATCTGTTTTTGACAGCACGAGTTAGAATGAACACAATGAAGACGTTTAATTTCAAATCATTGCATT